TTTTACATACTAACGTTAAAAAGGAGAAAACGCGAGGTTGATTGACTACTTTTGCTAACCGTCTCTGTACGACAAAGATTCGATGTTGCATAGTTGGCAAATTAGCAACTGAAAACAAACTCTCTCCTGAAATCAGCAGCTTGGTAGAAACAGTTTGATTAATTAACGAATAGTGTTCAAGAGAAAGTCTCAAAAAGCCACTTCAATCATCACTCGGTGTGTCTCTCAGCTAGAAATTAATCAGACCTTTTCCTTTAGGGAAGCATTCTTCATAAAAAAAATCTCTCACTTCTCGCTTTTGGTTTCTTGGATGCCTTGTAAATAGAGACAGGAATGCAAATCGTGTAAATAAACGCGCATTGTAATCGAATAACAATTGTAATTAAATACCCCACGGAATTACAAAGATGACGCAACCATCTCTCTTGTGACTTTGGAAGTGTGTGCGAAAAAGTGCGAAATATCATATGGATAATTTGCGTTTGAAAATATTACATGAAATTCTTTCCGAATCAAAGTGATCAATCGCGATTTATAATGACGTGGGATTATAAAAAAAAACACACACAAATCAAGACAAAAAAGTTAAGAAAAAAGGACAGCTTTAATACATGTACGTGTGGCGAACGCACTTTTAAAAGGAAAACCAATCACAGAAATACTCTCTTGTTTAAAATACAAAAAAAAGATATGGAATAAAATAAAAAACGCCTGATCCTCGATGGTATTGAAAATAATTGTTTATCCCATGGTTGTTGTTGTCTTTTCAATGTTCCGCTCGCTTCTCAAAGCAGTGCGACGCCTCCGTGCGTTGCATTCTCACAAGAGACAATAATAATGATTATTAATTTAAAAAGGAAAATACACTCATACGCTCTCTTGCTTCAAATGACAAAAGAAAAATGACCGAAAGAATCTCCAAAGTGGTGCTGCAGTCCTTGTTTCCCTCGGTTAAACCAAAACTAAAAAATGGAGCATTTGAAAAATGCCATATATACCGATTTGGACAAGCTGGACTAACTAAATAGAATATAATATGCAATCATGGCATAAACGGTTGTTGGATCTCTCAAAAAACACGGTTAAGTTTTCAACACAAATCCATACTCGGTTCTTGCGTTGCGCGATTTAGGTGTTTGCAAAGGATGAAACTTCTGTGATTCCACGTGTAAAAAGAACAAACGATGTTTTATCAGACCAAAAGTAATTAAAAACCCGCGAAAACCACTCAGTTCTTGGCGAATGACCTGCCGGCACGCGGCGACATCCCGTGTGTACCAATCATCGTGTGTATAATTAAATATCAGCAAGTGAAACTGTCTATTTTGGCAACTTGTGTCTGTAAATAATGCAACAAGCCCGCGATTGTGAAACTCCCGACACAGAAATGTGTGTGCAGATTTACGTAGATGAAAAAAAAATTCACTCAATTACAAATCAAGTAGGCTTTTTTGAACTGCTGTGAGAAAAAAAATTAAAGAGATAAACCAAATCACACGTGCGTGGAGGGAAAAATGATTAAAATACACACAAAAACGTCTCAGCATCTTTCTAAATACAGGTAGAGTGCATTCAAGAAGACCAGCGTCAGTATTTTTGAGAAGATGATTTCACTCAAATAGTGCCACAATTGTAAAATGTAAAACTAACTATATCGTGCTATGTAATTGAAGAACTGCTAAACACAGAAAATTATGGTGCGCGCTACAACTTTCAACGCAACACACTCTATATAACAAAACGGCTCACAGATTTTGACTCTCTTTTTTGTTATTTCGGTGTGTGTAACAATTTTATCTCTCTTTCTCTGTCAAAGCTTGCGAATGGGACTTGTTAGATCAGCCGAGATGATGATTTAGGAGAGAAAAAAAATACAGATGGCTCAACTAATAATGGTTGAGGAAAAAGTTTTAATTTCTTTTCAAGATTCGATTTAGCGTCCATCCAAACACTCAGCCACACACTTCTCACTCTCTCATCCAACTGCATGGGGAAATCATCTCTGTTTATTAGCATATCAGAAACGAAACAACAACACAAAAGATGTTGGAGCTTGGAAACTCTTTTAATTAAAAAAAAAAACGATATAAAAAGAAAAAATATTATTATTATAAACTAATGATAAAAGCAACCAACAAACAAACTAACACAACCTATACTTACTTAAAAAAATAAGAGAACATTGTGTTAAAAAATGAAAAATAGGGAAAGGATACAATTGAGAGACGGGGTCGGATTTTTTACATTGAGAAATTCAAAGGTATATAAAAATAAGAAAAGCATCTTCTTCTCTTTAAGACTATGATTATTATGCATACACACACACGCGCGCGCGTAAACTCTAAATATTTACAAAGGCATATAATGTAGATTGAATTCCGCCGTTTGATTAATCTTCAAATCGTATATATTTATTACTAATTATTTATTATTGTACTTATAATTATACCACACGCCACATACTACTTTCCTGACTCGATTTAAGCGTGAGATAATTAAAAATGAAACAAGGAGTACTTATAAGAAGAAAAATATTTAATAATATTGTAAGGACAATGTACACTCACACACACACACGCAACACACAACACTAGGACTTAAAGGGTTGACAAGAGCAAATCTAACTAAGGTTAATAGCGAGCGACTTGGATGCCTAGTTAGTAATCAATCTATCTCTTTCTCTCTCGCACTCTGCCGTGAAAGCGAACGAGGAAATGCGTGTTTGGCAGAAACAAAAAGAAGAAAAAACGCGCGACGACAATGTTCCATTTCGTCCTTCAGACCAAAATTGCTGTAGCGAAAAGAGTGGGAGCTGAGAGGACAATTTTCATATGGGAGAAAACTATATAGTGATAGCAGCATTTTTTCCGAATATTGCTTTCGAAACATTTGATTGTGAAATGCTAAAAATGCCAAAACGGAAAACGCATTCTCATCATCATGTTAGAAGAAGAAAAAAACGCAGAGAGCTATACAAAAGTTAAAAAAAAATAGAATCTACCGACAAAAACACGCGCGTGCAAAAATATCATTAAAATTATATATTTAAATAAGCAAAGAGGAAAGGAAAGTCACGAGTGGAACGGGAGAAAGAGGGATTGGCCGAAATTCGCCCAGAGAGAGTGCTAATGTAAAAAAAAATGTTTGGAAATTGGGAAAAGTACTACTTTCTATACCTTACGGATACAAATGTGAAAATAAAAGCTAGCAACCGCCCAAATGTACAGTTACATTAATTATTAATTAACTAACGATGCAAAAACATGATGAGATACGGTTACACGAAGAAAAAAAAAGAATAAGAAGTAACTTATACTTGCATTGGTTTTTACTAAGGACATACACTCGACACACTCTCACACACAAACAAACACACACTACTCTCTATGAATTTCTTTAGCGAGCTATATTGCATTCGAGTACGAGAAGAATTATGATTATAAATTACGATTATATAGTTGAACGCGAGCGAGGTATATTAATTATTATATTATATTATTATATATGCGACGATTTAATAGTACACTTATTATATTAAAAATATGCGAGCAAACAACTTATCTGAACCCCAAAGTGCACCCGCCGCTACTTTCAGCAGTGATGCGACCGACGGTTTGATAAGTTTTTATTAAGGATAAAAATTAATGAAAGATTTCCCTGCGTAATTTTTTCCCGAATTTATGCAAATGAGAAAAAAGAAAGAAATGTCTTCACACATCCCCATTCTTTATAAAATATTTAAAAGATAACGATTGATTTTCTTATATAAGACTTTTTGTCTTTTCTAAGCAGAACACATGCGTTGCATCGAGCGGCGGCCGCGTGTTCGCCGGCCCGAGTGCCGTCGCCAGAACAAACGAGGGTCAAATAAAAAGAGTTGTAAAAAAAAGAGAAAATATTACTGATGAAACTGCGTGAAGCAAAGACGCAGCTTAAGTTTGTTCGGCACATCGGAGGCCGTTGCGTGGCGCCGCAGAGATAAAACCATTCTGTTTAGAGGGAGAAAGGAAACAAACTTTATAACGGAATCATATAAAATAAAGTTATAAAAATACAAAAAAAGAAAATGTCAAGTGTCTTTTATTTACTCTGCCATTCCCGATCAAAATAATAAGTCATCAATAAAACATAATTTTTTAGTTAGAATTTCACGATCGACATTGGAGATTTGAATTCAAAGTCGGCTTTTTCTCGATAAGTTTTATGAGTGGTTTAAGAAAAAAATAATAAATGATTTGGCTGGGGCTGCAGTCATAATTCATGAGCTGTGAAATTATTTTGACAAAAATTAGTACATACATTAATTTAAAAATTAATTGGTGAAAAAATTGTAGGTGAAAAGAATTTTTGAGAAAAAAATTGAATATTTGATAAAATATACTTTTATAAAATTAATATTGTGCTAATTTTTTACCAAATAATTTCGCAGCTCATGAATTATGGCTTCAGTTGAAACATGCAGAGCAGGATATTGTTTTTTTTTTTAATAAACAACTCACAAAACCCATCGAGGAAAAGCCGGCTTCGAATTCAAAGCACCAAAATTTATCATTTTTTTTTTATATCCATGAAACAGTTCGATTGTGAATATGCGGTTTTCCACGGACAAGGAACATTATGAAATAAGTGAAAGGCCGTAAATGGAAACAAGAAAATGTAAAACCGCAATAATCATCACATCAGCCTGATTGCGCAAGGCCACTGCTGACGTATCTCTTCCTATCCCACAGACGACTCAGTTACCATGCAGCTTTCGCGCCAAAATTCAAGCCTGCCGGGAACGCTGACACCGCCCTTTCAAGCTACCAACCAAAGCATATGTATGATCTAAGATAATCACTTTGATTTTTGACATAAATGCTTCAAATATAATTTTTTTAATTCGAAATTTATTGTTAAATGTAAATTCAAATAATTTTAATCCTTTATTCCAGTTTTATCTTATAGGAAGTTGAAATACGTGATTGAGTTTTATTTCTGTTATGTTGGCATCACTGCAGAGTTCGGACGGTCAACAACGGGAGTGATTCATTCGCAAGAAGTGAAGAAAGTCGAGTTTCCCGTGATGGAATACAACGTTTCATGGACGCCGAACGCGTTTTAGCGGCCGAATCAGCTTGCGGAGGTTGAGACAAGATTGAGCGGAAGTGATTTAACGGCCGGACACGATGGCCAAAGACTACGACCACTTGTTCAAGCTGCTCATCATCGGCGACAGTGGTACGTCCACGCCTCTCCGACAGCTTTCCAAACACTGAATTCGCCAATTTTGGGCATCAATTCTCAGAAATCAAACGTCTCCAACGATTTAGTTAAATTTACGCCTTCCTTTCTGATGGGAAATTTTGCTCTTAAGATAACGAAGTGGTCAAAGAAGGCCTCTAATTTTTGGTCCCGAGGGTGTGACGTCACGCAGATAATTCGCGACTTCCCACTTCATTAGACGATAAGATCGTGGAGCGGACGCGCTAATTTGTAAAAATTTGAATGTCCATTTGGCGGGTCCAGCTGCTGTTCATTCCCCCAAGAGCTCAAAGCAGAATTTTGTAATAAATTTTCTAATTTTTTCTAGGTGTGGGCAAAAGCTCTCTTCTGCTGAGGTTCGCGGACAACACATTTTCAGGAAGTTACATCACAACGATCGGCGTCGACTTCAAGATCCGCACCGTCGATGTGGACGGCGAACGCGTCAAGCTGCAAATTTGGGACACGGCCGGACAGGAGCGCTTCAGGACCATCACCTCGACGTAAAACAAAATTTGTTTTAAAGAAATCAATTTGTTTTAAATACAAATTTTAAATTCCAGCTACTATCGTGGCACACACGGTGTGATCGTAGTCTACGATGTTACCAACGGCGAGTCCTTTGCAAATGTCAAGCGGTGGCTCCACGAAATTGAGCAGAATTGCGAAGTAGTCAACAGGATATTAGGTCAGCAAGCACAAGAGATTACTTATGAAACCTTACAAATTTACAAATAACTTGAGCATATATCCTAATAATAATTATTCCAATGCTTTTTTGCATAAATATAACTACATCTTTAATCAAAAGTATTGAATCAAGTGATTTACTGCATAAATAAACTAATTCATTACTTTTTGTTGCTTGATAGAAATGACCTATTTGTAATTAATTTATTTTTAAATAATTAATTAATCAATTAATGCTTTCAGTTGGAAATAAGAATGACTCTCCCGACAAGAAGGTTGTCCTCACGGAGGATGCGCAGAGATTTGCAGATCAAATGAACATTCAGCTCTTCGAAACGAGCGCGAAGGATAATATTAACGTTGAAGACGTAAGTATAAAAAACTGATCGTTAAAAGAAGACAAGTGAACTATTTTAAGGGTTTTTTCTGTATAGGACGGGTTTAAAATAAGTTTCCTATCCAATGTACAATCCCAAATTTTAAGATTAAAATTCAATTAAATTTTCCGGAAAAAAATCGCACATATAAATAACGTACTGAAATTATACAGATTATTTTTTCTATTAAATTTTATTTCAAAATATTATATTAATTATTTTTTATTTCAACAATTTTAATAATAAAGTCTGTTTAAAATTTATGGAATTAAATAAATTGTTTACATAAAAGAACAAAAGACTTAGTTAACCAAGGCTCAGTGCAACTGATGGGGTCTTTTTGATCTCGAAAGTTAGAGCAAAATTCCTGCTAGTGGCGGTGCCGTTTTGTACAACAATTCCTCTGTTTTTTCAAATAAATTTTTTTCAACAATTGAATTATGTGATGTAACAATTTTGACAATTAAACAACAATAATAATAGAAAATATAAATAATGAAACATATTAAAGTTAAAAAAAAAAAAATAGAAAAATTAAAAAGAAATTAAATTTGACAGCAATTCATGTTCGTGCTTCAAATTCAACATAAAATTTGTTGATATTTGTCTAATTTTGATTTACTTTTCCAGATGTTCATGAGCATTACAAGACAAGTCCTGTATACTAAGAAAGAACGAAAAGAGCGGCAGAACCAGAGTGGTGAGACCGTCAAGATCGGCATGGGCGGCAAGTCTAGGAAAAGCAAGAGCAAGTGTTGTTAGCGAGACTGGCTGCCCATCTGCACGTCTTGCCAGCCAGCGAATTCCACCACATTTCCTCTTCTCTACTTCTTCAATCAATTGGTTGTGCGCGCGCAAATTTATAAAAAAAAAAATATTAATATTATTTTCTACTCTGTTTAATCTGTGCCAAAATTGGTTCCTCATTTCTTTCGGCAAAAGAAGCTTCGTGTGGAATTCTTCGGCGATCACAACAGACAGTTTGTTAGTGCTCAAAAGTTGCCAGTTTTGAGATTTTAGTGACTTTTAAAATGAGTAGATGATACGACAGACTTTGAATTTATAATCAATGCGATTCAAAACAACTTATAATCCACATACCATGAACTTGCATAAGAAAAGTGCTCGTCCCTGGGCACACTACATCATTCAATATTTTGCCCCAAGTCCAAATTGTACCGATTTGTTGAATCCATACGTGCTGGACTTGATAAGGAGGGATGACAATTTATCACAAAGCAACCTTATGTATATCAAGAGTCATTCATTTTGCAAAGTATATAAAATTGTGTAAAAAGCTCGAACACCAAAAAATGAAGCTAATTAATAAACTTTTCATCACTCACCATGGCATGCATGTGAAACGCATTCTCTTAGCTGCGTCGCTAACAAGAATTATTCATTCCTCTCTCTCCTGAAACGTTATTCCCTCTTATATTCTTTAATTGTAATTTTAATCATGTCCTGTATGTGATTATATAATTATTTTGTCAACTGAATTTTGTTGCAACACTCGAGTATTTTAAAGCAATTTTAGCAATATTTTTTATTATTCCTCTCTGAAAGCAACATCTGTAATGAGCAGCTTGCAATTTTATGCAAATATATAAACGAGGCCTATTCGGAATTTGAAAGAAGGAGAAAAAAACTTGCATCTTTGGTGTCATATGTCTGTTGGTAGTGATTAAGGCGGGAAATGTGATGATTTTGTAAGAATTGGACCGATTTTGTACAATTTGTAGTCGCCACTCACTTTTGCAAAAATTTTGTCTTGGGAAAATTTGATCTTGTAAGGAGGTGTTGCCGAGAATCTAAAAATACACACACACACATAATATATACTCTGAAGGTGTTTTTTATTATTCTCACTTGCGTCAGGGAAGTTGAGTTTGTTTATTTGTTTTGACAATGATGAGTGCTGCACTTCTATTTCTGTGCATTTTAATTTTCAAGTAGTGGCAAATCTGGCAAGTCACTTGTCTGCATAAACCAATTCAGCTCATCTTGTCAAAATAAAATAAAGATTTTTCCTGCTTTCTGACATGCCATCCTAAAACACAAATTTTAATTTTTTTTCTAAAGATATATTCTTACATATATTTTTTAACATTATAACTTTTCCTTTATCAGTTGATCATAAATAAAGCTTTCAGTTACCAAATTTGGAAATAAATATAAGCCGTTATTAATTTTTTGAAAAATTAACACTTAGAGATGATCATGGAAATGAAGCGACCGGGCTTTTGCCTTATTGAAAAAAGCCCAATCTCTTCATAAATATCCATTAATTTTTACTCCCACGAACTCCAATCAAAAACATTCTTTTGGGAATTTGCTCAAGATGAATTCTAATAGATAAAATTTAATATTTTTCTGCGTTATTCTCGGGCCCTAATCTTATTAATTTAATTGCAACACATGAATTACGTTTATGTTATATAAATTATTTTTACTAATTTAATAAATAATAAATTTTTTTAAACTAATATAATTATTCAATTACTTGAAACCTTCATTTAAAATATATTAGAAGTTAATGAACTAAAAAATTAGCTTACATGAAATTTTAATTCTACAAATCAATTACACATTACTTAATAATTAAAAATTATTTTTTATTAGATTCCATTTTTAATTAAAAATAAAATTTAATTCGAAAAAATTAAATTATATTGTCATTTTATGTTATATTCGGAACAAAAACATTGCAAAATTTATCCATTTAAAATTGAGTAATGCTTAAAATTTAACGATATTTAATTGAAACTAAAATTTAAAAATTATATTAATTAATTCTTATCTAATTAATGTTTATTTCATCAAAAAATATTCTTGAAATAATTTAATTATTCGCTATTTTTACAGAAGAAGAATATTTTTAATGAAAATCAACATAAATGTGTAGAGAGAACAAACATAATACGTCAATCATCTCCTTTCAATTAAGTCCACAATTCTAGTCGCAAAAGGTCAGCCGGAAGAAGAAGAAACCCGATTCTTTTAACGGAAATCAAAGATATATCCAGTTCGTCCAGTTGCATCTGCGATTCCGCTCTCAAGCACCAAGGTGACTGCAATTGCAAATCGAGTAATGACCGGCAGCCCTGACAATTCGCATTCAAATCAAAAGCTGTATCAAATTATATTGCGCCGATTTCCGATATACCGAGTCTCGTGCTACATGGATAGGCTGCAATTAACAATCAAGTGGCACTTCTTGTCTCTGACGCAACGCGCGCACTTGTTGTTTTACTTTTAATTTTGCGTTTGTCTAGAGAGAGATCAGATGATCTAAACTCCTTTTCTCGCGTGGTAATGGCCTCGACTATTACGTAGGAAAACCTACTCGACTCAAGCACCTGATCGGAAGAAGGCGAACGAGCCGCTTCTCGGGGCGCCGTAAACAGAGAGAAGAACGCGTTTGTTTCGCTAGTCAGTAGTGACCGAACCTTTGGAGGTATCACTGCTCTTCCAGGCAACCTACTTATTTTCTTCAAACTCCACACTGGCTCCTTAAGGTAAGGTATTTTTTTTTAAATTTCAGATTTTACATATTGTGAATTTTTACTAAATTTTATTTTCATCTTCTTAAATAATAAATTTATCACATTATTTTCAGATCTGTATTCATTGATGTTACAAAAATTAAATAATTTTGTTGATTGATGAATAAATTTTATAAATTAGAACTAAATACTTGTCAAACAACAACAAAAATAATTCCGATTGATTAGCGACAACAAAAAACAAAATATTGTTTAGACTAATGTAATATTCATAAGACAATAAAGATCAATAAAAATCATATTAAAAGTTTAAGATTAAATTCATTAAGATAAATATTTATTTCCAAATTTTATTAGGAAGAGCACAGCAATTACCATAATTTTAGTTATTTCTATTTCTGATAACTTGTTGGGAGAGAATAAATGAATTGCATTAATATTTTTTTTAACTTTTGCAAAACAAATTTTGGTTTGGTTTAATGAAACTTTATTTAGTTCGAAAACTTATACAATTGCATACATTTTATATTGAATTTTTCTTGTTTTTTTATTTTTTTTGCAAATAATATGTATAAAAAAATATCGTCATTAAAAATAACAGTAAAATATACACATTCTTTTGTCTTAAACCAATGACAGAATAAAGAGAACCAATTTTTTAATTAGTAAATTTACTCTTATAAATGATTTTATTCTTCTTCAAACAAAAGTCTGTTTACTGTGCAAAATAGATTGAATTGCAAATTTATATTAAATTATTGAAATTTAAACTCTCAATGCAAATTTTTGCTCTGCGCGTGCTGGGGCAAAATAAAACGTGCTTGAAGGTTACTTTGAAGTCTTTGCGCGCGCGGTCTTGTGTTTTGCAAAGGTGTTTTCTTTCTTAGTGTGTGCGCGTAAATTTTCGGCGCCTTGAAGCTCGCGCTTGGGCTAATACATTATTTTAACAGCGGCTTTTCGCATCTTCTCTTTTTGACAGGCCAAGGTAAAAAACCCGCCCGGCAACTTTTCGTCCCGCAAAGGCTCGAGTATGGCTCTCCAACACGCGTCGCCCGAACAACTCGTTAGCATCTTGCAAGAGCTGAACGAGTCGTCCACAGAGAAGAGGGACGCAGCCCTGCAACACCTCAAGATATGGCTCGTCTCGCAACCCCATCTGCCCAACAAAATGGGTCAGTATAATTATACAAAAAAAATTTCCATTTTATTAAAAACAGCTATTGCATAATAATTTTAATAAATACAACAAATACTTAGTCTAGATCTATTTTTCATTGCTTGTTTTTTTTTATTTACCAATAAATTAAATTTATTAATTAACAAATTGAGCGTTGCATTATGTGCAGATATTAACAAATAAAATCATTTTAAAGTATGTTTTACAAAATAATGAAAATAAACTTAAAACCAAACAGTTAAAACACATTCATCATTTCAAGTTTCGATAAAAACTCAGAAATAATTCAAATAGCTGATAAATCAATATTAAATCCTTTAAAATACAAATCTTATTGTTAGCAAAACCATCAGTTTCTCAATGAATTGTTTATTCATTTTGGAAAAATGGCAACAGCGGTAAATTTGCGGCCTGCTTAATTTCAGACTCATTGCATCTCAATTTTATCGATGAACTGTTTGCATTTTTGCATTGATTTTCATCAGATATTTGAACTTATGGGAATATATTTTAATTTTTTGTCATATTTTAACACTGGGCCACACATGCAACCATTCATGACCTTTCAAAGAAATAATTTAATCCCAGGACCAAACGTCATTAATCATTTCCAGGCGTGGTTTTATAACAATTGCCATAGGTCATGTTTCGTAAGCTGACGTTTGTTGTTGTGATATTGTTTGGCAGACGAGAGGATGCTGATGACTTTTATTCGCGGCTGCAAGCACGACCTGAACAGGACCAAGTCCAAGCTGGACACTTATTTCACGATGCGCGCCGACGCCCCCGAGCTCTTCAGCGAGCGCGACCCGCTCAACGAGGACGTCCAGAGCATGTTCAAAACCATGTGAGTATATTTTTTTTCTCATCTTTAAGGTCGCACCTGAGAGAGGTGAAATCTCAATCAATCAAAGTGAACATTAACGGTAATGAGATTTTTTTGAGTTACACAATTTTGAAAGAGGCTCGACTACAGTGAAAGTCTCGCCGGACTCTTAATTGCGCGAGCGTCGGTCTATTGTGTAGTGGTCCGTGCAGTGTTGGGGAAAGCACGGAGATTTGTAAATGCAGATAGAACATTATTGCACCTGATTTGACGACCTCCATTCCAGCGCACAGAGATTAATTGCGCCGAGAGCTTTATGACTTTTTGCTGTGCATTTTTGTCAGATGGAAAGAAACTCGTTTGACCAACGCAATAAACTTTGTGACTGGTTTCGTAAGCGAGAGGAAAATATAAAATGTTGAGTTGAAGTAGTACACTTGCATGCGCCGGGTCAACTTGATATTTAATGTTTATTATTGCGATTTATGGTTTACGGCTTTTGAATGTGCTAAAATTGCGCTCTTTTTTGCATGGGCACTTTACTTTCCATTTAATTGTACGACGTAAAAATGTAAGTAAATTTTGAGTTTTATGACACACTGGTATCAATAAATTTGAATTTACATTTTTATACAAATTGTAGAAAGCAAAATAAAACATAAAAATTTAGGCGCATAATGAAAATTTTTATTTTACAGTTAGTTATTCACATATAAATCAAATATAAGAGCCCAACATTTTCACTTTTCCAGTCCTCTGAACCGTATATATAGAGAAAAATATGCACAATAGTTTGGCATATTTTGTTACCTCCTTGATGCTTTTACGCCATAAAATAAATTTATATTATTATGCAGGGATAATTATGGTTCTGTAAGGAAATTTGGTAATGCCGATTAAAAAAGTTATGCCAAAATAAATATGATTTAAATTCAAATTAAATGTGAATATAAATATTCGCGAGGGATCAAAAGATCGGGCTTTTCCTCGTTGCGAAAATTGTTTATAAAAAAATGGCTTCATCATCAGTTTCGGTCACGGTCTGCGACTCTATTTAATGAGCAAGAAAAATAGAAATGAGCAAAATTTAAAAAAAAACACCACATATTAACACACACGAAATTAAAATCTTAAAACTAAAAATTTCAAAAAAACAAATTTCGCAATAAGGAAAAGCCCAATCTCTTCATTTCTCCATGATCATAACCCATTGATTGTAATTTCCTCAAACAAAAATTATTTGCTGCAAAAATTAAAATGGACTTTTAAATTCTCTTTGACCTGACGGCTTTAAGTGATTGAGAATTGCAATACCATATTTTTGCTTCAACGA